GCGTGCGGGTAAAGGCGGCCTGCGCCAGTAGCAATGGCCCAGCTCCGCTGTCTCCCCGCGCTCAGCCGTGGGCTCGGAGCCGCCCCGGGAGAGCGCGGGTGCGCGGGTTGCGGCACCCCCAGCGCTTTCCCCGCCGCAGGTTCTGTTGGAGGGGCAACCGCAGGACCGGGCACATACTAATGTGCTATCAGATGAATGCTCCCCGAAAATCCCTTGCAGGAGGGCAGGGATCATGTCTGTCAATTGCAGCTCAGGTCAATGCCAGACACAAGCTTTTACCGAATAACTTTTCCTACACACTTGCTTATTGAACTACTGTCAAACTATGTGCATTGAATTTTGGTGCTCGAGCACGGCTTCCGTTCGTCGCTTCCACGCTCCGCAGGAGGAGTAGCAGGAGGGCCTCAGTGGGTGGGCACAGAGGGGACGCGGTTCTGGGCTTTGGAGGTGGAGCAGGAGGACAGATAGCGGGGGACTGATGACCGTGAGGCCGGAGCCTTCAACAGTGGTGCATGTGACCCGCTGGCTGGTCCTGCGTTGTAGTAACAGGACCATATGGAGTAAGGGGAGCCATGGAGACAGGAGCTGGTGCCCGCAGGAGTGCTCAAGTGTGGGGCCTGAGACCGGTCCACATGCAGCTGGGTGGCACCCTGGGGCTGCAGACCTGGGGCTTGAAGAGGGGGGGCTTCATGCAGCAGCTGTTTGGACTTGATAATGCAACCAGCACTCTTGGCACTAGGGCTGGGGTGACGCCCATTGGGCTGATCTGTGGGAGCCGGAGCAGCCCCGCCCACTGGCCTCCACCAGAGCCGCGCACAGAAAAACATCTTGCAAGCTTTAAAAACAGGGATGGCCTGGGGAGAAAACCAGGTGTCCAGCGGGTGAATGAATAACAACACGTGCTCTGTCCTTACAATGGAGTAGTATTCAACCTTAAAAAGGAAGAAAATTCTGGTACATGCCACAACATGGATGAATCTCGAAGACATAATGCTCAGTGAAATAAGCCAGTCACAACAAGGGACAAATACTGCATGATTCCACTCACATGAGGTTCTTAACACAAATTCACAGAGACGGAAAGTAGATGGTGGGGCCAGGGCCTGGGGGAGGGGGATGGTTTCAGTTTGGGAGGATGAGAAGGTCTGGAGATGGGTTGCACTATGGTGTGAGTGCACTTAATGCCACAAAGTGCACAGTAAAAGGGTTACGATGGTGAAGTTCGTCATGTACAATTGCCATGATATAAATAAAAGCAAGCCTGGTCCCACTCCAGAGATGCCGATGCAGCTAGGCTGGGAAGTGGCCTGGTCGTGGGGATTTTTAAGGCTCCCCAGTGACTCTGACGTCCAGCCAGGTTGAGAGCCTTGTCCCTGCCAGCTTCAGCTGCACTGCCCCTGTTGTCGGGGGTTAAGTGGCCTGAGCAGAGGTCACTGTGCCTCTGCTTGGCACGGTGTTGACTTGGGGATCCTGTCTCTTTTGGAGAAGAACATGAGGCACCAGTCCATGGCATCCCCACCCCCTTCCCCCAAATGCCCGCCGTGCGCAGGGCAGCGTCCCGAGGCCAGCAGAGCCCGGACGTGGCTCTAACCCTCGACCTGTTTTTCAGGACCCTGGGGTCAGGGAGGGTTGGCACCACGCCCAAAACGCAGTGACAGATGAGACTGAAACAGGGTGGTCCGGGCCTGCAGCCGCTCTCCTCTGGCCTCGCCTTCCGTCCACGGGTCTCGGAAGCCCAGAGCACCCACACAGGGATGCTTGGGGAACGCCGCAGACACAGCTCCCTCCGACTGTGTGATCTACAGCCAACAGGAGTATGCCAGTGCCATCATGGCCATGGGCACCCTGGACGTGCCACCAGCACCAGCCCTGGAGGAACACAGGGCCCCCTCAGACAAAGCGGGGGCTGTCTCTGCCCCCCACCACGTCCCAATGGCACCCTCGCATTTTCCCACCGCCGTCACTTCCTCCCACCCCAAAGTCACCCCTCCACTCCTGTTGCCATCTGACAGCTCAGGCCGCCCCCGCAGCAGCCCGCGCCTAACGTCCCCAGAATAAAACGCTCAGCTTCCCCAAATAGCCCCTCCCTGGAGCCTGGCCCAGTCTTTTTGGAGGGTAGCTCGGCACAAAATGCTCATGACCTTGAGTTAGACGCCTCTTCTCAGCACTATGCTAAGGACACGTTGGCTGTGTGAGAGAGAGAGCCACAGCAGAGCTCATTAAACAGAATTTTTATAGCACAACTGTCCGGCACAGTCTTCTGGCTCCGGAGGTGTGGGAAGGGGCCAGAGCCCCTCATATGAAGCAGAGCCCTGTCCCACTCCGTTCCCGCCCCCCGCAGGGGCCTCTTCTGGAGACGCTGCAGGTGCGCAGGGTGGCTGGAAGCCTGAGCCTCCTTGCTGCATGCCGAGGGCCCCTTTCCCGGGGCTCGGGGGTGCTGGTGCTGCTGGCAGCCTGACCCCACAGCCCAGCCCCAGGAACGGGGCAGCAGACGGCCACCTGCCTGGTGGAAAGCAGGCCGCTGTGGTCCAGAGCCCCTGAGGGCCTGCCTCTGGGGCGGCTCCGCCTTGGTGATTGCCCTTGCCGCCCCCACCTGCCCTCGGCCTCCGAGGAGGGAGCAGGGGTGTTCCTCAGGTTTACCCAGCGGAGGCCATCGTTTTGACCAGCCCTGCTCTGCAGACCTGAACCCCTTGGCCCCAGGCCAGGGGGTGGTATCAGCCCAGCCGTCTGCCCTAGAAAGGGAGCAGCCTTGCAGTCAGGAGCCCAAGGCCATGTCCTCCCAGCTGAGGGACCTGGACGAGGAGCAAAACCTCCAGCCTCGGTCCCCGGTCTGAGAAATGGGCTGGGAATGCCTGCCTTGCAAGGTTGCTGTAAAGCACAGAGCCTCAGACCCGGTGCAACAGAGTCTCAGACCAAAATGAGCATCGGTGCCATGGCTGCCAATGCCTGGGACAGTGTCCCTTTGCTGAGTGTGGCCTACAAAGCGTCCCACACACCGCCGTCCCCTGCCAGAGATGGTGGAAGACAGTGTGGACCCCGGGCCACCTCAGGAGCCCTGACAAAGCGGCTCTGTGTGCATCCCCATAGGTGTCTGAACACGCCACAGTGTCAGGAGACCACAGAGCTCGTAGACCGGGCGACACCTGCACGAGTGCCCACTCTGCGCCGGTCACTGGGGGGTGGGGAGGGGTGTTCAGAAGCAAAGGTGGGAGACGCCTGGGCCTGCGTCCCAAGGAGCAGTGCCTCACAGCAGAAGTGGCTGGTTCTTAGAGAAGGGCTCCAGTCCAGGGCCACCAAGCACCCCGTTTGCCCCAGACTGCAGGGGATCCCGAGCAAGGGCTCCAGCTTTAAAACCAGAGCGAGCGGGACCCTACACACTCCCCCCGCCAGCCCCCTCCGCCCTGCCTAGCCCACCGTCCCTCCTTCACCTCGAGGTGAATTTTTCCTGCCATTGAAAAGGGTTTCTGTCACTCAGACTGACAAACCCGAATTAACCGGGTTCCCTTCTATGTCCCTCAGCGGGCATCCGGGGACTTCGGAACACAGGCCCTAGCCTCCTCCCCTCCTGCAGCTCCCACGACTCCCTCTAGAACCCAGTGTGTGCACACCCCAGGGCCCTCCCGTCCCCACACCCTGCCCGGGGACACCAGCGCTCCAGTTGGCGCCCCCAGTCCCTCCCGACCAGCTGGGTGCCTGGGCTCCCCGCCAGCCTCCCCCACCCCGGCCTCACATAACCCCCTCTCCTCCCCCGCCCCGTGTGAGCTGCGCTATCTCTGCGAACAGACACCTCGCTCCGTCAAGCTGCCTCCGGTATCACGAGCTCACTGGGGCTTGTTGCTGACAAACAGGTTAAGTCACTCAACGCAGCCTTGGCCAGGCGCTGTGCCTGCTCCCGGGGGCAGGGGTGAGCCTCTGGTCCAGCAAAGCGGGGTGGATGGTGGTCCCCAAAAACACAAATCCACTTCCTAACCTCTGGGACCACATTTGGGAAAAGGGGTTTTGCAGATGCAATGAAGGATCTACGGAGTCCTAAGTCCGCCGACCGGGTCTTCGGTCTTCGCAGAGAAAGGTGGGGGCGGAGTTGAGACTCAGACACGCAGGGAGGGGCTGCGTGCGGGGGAGGCAGGCGCTGGACGGACATGGCCACGAGCGGGGCCACCAGAGCTGGACGGGACAGGACGGAGCCTCCGGAGGCCGAGCTGGACCCCGAGGCCTCGTGACTGTTTCTCTTCGACCTGTCCGTGTGTCCGTCCGTATCTCTGCCTCTTTCTAACACGCGGTCTCTCTCTGTGTGCACCTCCCCCTCCTCCATTACCAGTAATAAAATACTCGGAGGCTTCAAACCGTGGCCATCACGTGTGTCTCACACGGTTTCGTGGTCCAGAGTCTGGCCGGGGCCAAGCGGGAAAGGCCTGTCTCTGCTTCGCAGCGTCTGAGGTCTCAGCTGGGAGACCCGGAGGCCGGGGCTGGGGTCGGCTGAAGAGACACTGT